CACCAGCACCAGCACCACCAACAACAACAACAACAGACAAACAACACCACCTCCAACAACAACAACAAGAAGAAGAAGAAGAACAAGAACAAGAACAAGAACAAGAACAAGAACAAGAACAACAACAACCACAACGACAACAGCAACAGCAACAGCAACAGCAAAAGCAACTGCAACAGCAACAGCAACCGCAAGTGCAACAACAACCACAACAACAACAACGACAACGACAACGACAACAACAACAACAACAAGAAGCACAAGGCTGACAGTAGTAACAATAACAAGCTTACAAGCAATAAGAAGAGTAACTTGAACGCTTAAAGAAATCGTATCAACAGTAGGGGTAATGTAGGTAAAAGCGTAGCCATAGTAGAAGGATAGCGACAAGGATACCAATAAACAAGAGTGACAATAAATGAACATTCATGACACTATGCAACAATCACACCAGAAACACAATACGAATACGAGTATTACTGTCGACTTCATTTGCTGAGGCTCCAGGCCGGCAAGCCCTCTAAAACCCTCCTTCAAACCTGCAATCGCTTTCGATGTCCTCTGGGCCTTTGTCTTTCTTGCGAGGCTTAGCCTGCACCAGGAATCGAGCCGGTTCGGGTTTGGGGGTTCAGAGTTTGGGGGCTTAGGGCCCGACAAATTGAGGGCTTAGGGTAGGGAGTGTCAGGCTTTGGGTATACCCCACGTCAACCCACGGGAAAAGTCTTTTCCCTGAACAGATGTTCCGTTTAGTTTACTGGGCAATGATACCCTAGATGCCAGTATCAGCAACTTTCTGACCCGTTCTCGCCACAGAAGCAGCTACAGTCCCTGCTGTGACTGATCGTAATTGGAGGGACAACAAATCGGCACTGTTACAACGCAGCATACAGAGAAACGCTATATGTGATCCTCAGAAAGTTTATCACCCTTTCCATGAGGATGATGACCCATGAGGATGATGAAGCTGATGTTCATTGCTGTTCCCAGCAGGCTATACTCATCATAACCGCCATAGCTGTTACCATTACCGGTCCTTTCCAGTCCTCGCCCTCTACCGTCCCTGTAACTACATTGTCACCGTGCTCTGTTGTAAGCCTGGTAGATGAGGTCGAACTCCGAAAAGAAACGCTTGTTTCTTTCCTCCTTAATCCTAAAGGGATCACAAGGGCAACTATCAGCGACTGAGCCCCTCATGTTAACAGCTCACATGACTCTGGAGCCCTGCAGCCTGCAGACCTTGACCCGGAACATGAAAGTGACACAGAGATGGGTAAAACGTCCTTCAATCGCTAAGACCACAAGCCTTGAGCCCCATAAACCCAAGGAGGCCTAGCAAAAAGCGCATAACACTAGATCCCATCAACCTTGCCACACCCTGAAAGAAATTCTAAAAACACACACACACACAAACAAACAAACGCGCGCACACATGCACACATGCACACACACACACTCTCTCTCTCACACACACACATACGCATACGCAAACGCACACATGCACACATGCGCACACACACACACACACCCTAGAAGCATTTCCCACCCTCAATCGGTGATTCTGACCTGAAGCCCCAAACGCTGCAAATGGTAGACCCTAGTAATCCCCGAAACGGTAGGCTTTCGGACCCCTAACCGTAACCCTTACTCCGCGAATATGGTGGCCTCAATAATTAGATTGGGTGTTCGGGTATCATGTAGCTTCAGCATAATGCAAACTAAAAGGCTAATACAACCAATCATTCCGACCTATTTGAAACCAGCCCGAAACCCCAAACCCTAAACCTGAACCGTATCTCCGTGCATCTTCTGAGCGCCAAGGAACGAAGGGCTCGATAGCCTTGCATGCCAACTTCACGGTCTTGCCTGGCACATTCTGTTGAAAAAGGGTTCTTACTGCAGAGGTTGTTAAAAGGGTAGTACGAGCATCGGGGTTTGGGGGTTCTAGGGTTTAGGGTGTCATAGTTCAAGCTTTTGATTTTGGGGGCACCAAAACCATGGTGTCTAAGGATGTTGTGTTGCTTGATCCTTGTAAAAAAATCAATGAACAGGTAAGACCACACGGGGAATTCCACGAAACCTGACCCTCTGAAGGGTTCCATGACGTTCCATGACATTCAACTTACAGAGCACAAAGTTTGAATTCACGCTCTACGCTCTCACAGAAGCCAGAGCGATTAATTCACGCTTTGAGCTTTAGTTAGGGGACCTCTCTAAGGCCAAACGGGGAATCTGCCGGGGCCCGGGGTCGCTCTTTATGGGCCCCCCAAGGCTATTTACACACGGGCCTTAGCAATGAGGCATGATATAGCAAAATTCGATATCGTAGCCCAAGGAGCAATAATTAATTTTACTCAGGCTTCTAGATGACCTCTGTAAGACCACAAGACAAATCTCCCAAACGGCCACTTAGCTGCTTTTGGAGGCCAAGACATCCTCGAAGTTCCAATCGGCGGCACGCTCCTGACCCGGAATGAGGGTTCTTTGATAGAGCTAGGGACATGGGAAAATTTACTTGTGATGCAGAGGCCTGTAGGGGCATGCTTCTGTACCAACATACTGTAGGGGACAGTCGAGGATAATTGCGACGATGCCAGAACCTCGGAGAAGGTCTAAGCCTCCACTTCTGAAGGGTTTAGGGCCGTTTAGGGTTTGGGTCCAATAAAGCTGAACACAGCTTTTTCCGGAAAACACTGGCCTCCCGGTTTAGGGCTGATACCGGGGCCTGATAACGAGAATGGGGTCTTGGGGTATACTATACTCTATGCCTGTATAATTGGCATTTGGGCACTATATTGAGATTGTGCTATAATCACAAGGTAACTCTAGGGAGATGCGTTTAGCTATTATTCTGACCCCTAGATTAACCCATGCACCGCTGTTATGGCAAGTCTCGAATCCTATTCTCTAAAGCACCCCTCTCAAAACCGCGAAAGCCCTTTCAACCTTCAAGGCCCTTCTAGACTAACTTAGAAACCCTAACCCAGCCCTTATAGTAACCCTTACAAACCCCTGTCAAAGCCCTATATAGAAGCCTTGCAACAGTCTTGCAACCCTAAACCGTTTTGGTCAACCCGCAGCTCTATCCAATCACCCCAACAAAACCCTAAGCCCTGCCTCGCCGCGACCGGGCCCAACGACCAGGATCACATTCTGCATGAAGACCATGAGGCGATGATGGCCCATCTCAGTTTAGTGTTATTTCATTTTTGGTGTTGTCGCCCCTTTTCCTCTGGCACTATGGGGTTTAGGGTTTAGGGGTTAGTGTTTCAACACTCACGGTTTGGGAATTCGCGGGGTTTTAGGGCGTTTGTTCCCGACCGGCTTAGAAGACTGGGTCGCTTAAAGCTTTTCGGGATGAGGCAGGATGGCCCATGTCATGAAGTTATATGGTTTTGGGGCTGCAGTGGCAGTGGCTTTAACTAAGGTTTGGGGGTTTTGTTTTGGGGATGATGGTGAAGATTGATTTTGAAGGGCATTGGGTCTACATTGAGTCAACATGGCTAAACTTTAACCCATCTCAAGCCTCAAGGTGAGTCTTGTCTTTTCCACAAACTGAGCAGTTAGACTAATCACGGGTTTAGGGCTTCGGGCTGAAAGTACAGGGATTGACATCGCGACATGTACTAGTATCTCAAAAAGCAACAAGACGCGAGAACTCGCGCTCCTCTTCGTGCATATTTACATGGGGTTACGATTCTGTGGGGTGGTGCCAATATGTCGAGCAAGCTCTCTCCGGCTCGTCCTCGCGGTATCGTACAATGCCTGCCTTTACGGGCTTTCGCGTGGTGCTGCAGCGGTCTCGCAATGTGGCCCTGGTGTGTTCTACCGTGGTGTTTCACTGTCAAAGTTAGGCAGGCGTCTAGCCCCCACAATAAGCACTTAAAGTGTTAACGATCAGCTCATGGATTTTGTCAGCCTTGTTGGTGTGCACCTTGGCAACTCGTTCGTGATGTTCAAAGTTTAGGGCTTCTACAGGATGAGGGCTTAACTCGTGGGTGTAAAGGCTTTTTCGGGACAGAGTGATGTCTTTTTCAAGTGGGCTGAAGCAGGTTGCCGGGCTTCGGAATTACTTACAGGCTGCGGGCTTTAGGCCTTAATTAGTCCGGGGTGTTCCTGGATAGTGGTGCTTCGTGTATGTTGTAGAGTTAGTCCAATTCGGTAATTCAACATGAACATGAGATGTTCGTTAAGCGTCCTACGGGCCTTCGGGGTTTTGGGGGTTAGGGTCATGGTTTGGCGTTCAAGTTTGTGGATCCATTGCTGTCGGATTTGGAGAAGCACGTTGGGTTTGGGCTTGAGGGCGCCAAATCGAAAGCAGTGACTGTAAAAAAAGAGTCCTATACACCCTCAAAACCTAAAAAGTTGAAGACCAAAGCCTAAAGCCCGACAGCTTCATAAAACATGTCCAAAAGACCCGAAGTTTGCCCAACTTCAACTCGAAGTGGACCATGTCAAAGATGCCAGCAGTAAGGTTCCTAGGGCAGAAGTGATGGCACGCTTCCGGGCTGCTTTGGAGATTTGGAGGGAAGCATTTCACAGAGTAACTAGGGTACGGGGCTTAGGGCTTTGGGAAGAGTAGTTGGGGCTCGGGCAGACGCAGAGGGGCGGTTTGGCTTTTTCGGTACAGCTACGGCGCGCGATGCTCTTGAGTGCATGCACCACTTGAGTGAGGACAGCTTTTGACCGTAAGTTTTGAGAAAGCCGTTTAGAACTAACTTGGCGTCTGATGCAACATCGCGACTTCTCCTAAGCTTGGTCTGACTCTGAGCCAGAACTGTAAACCCCCGCACGTACGAAGCACACAACACAAGATGCAATTCCATTGCCAGCCAAGATACAGGGGTAAGTGTAGGTTGGTGAGCCTGGCAGCATGGCATGGTTTTTGCACAGCAGCCGGGAGAGCCAGGTTCGGGAATGGAGCCCGTTTCACCCTAACTATCCCAAGGCCTGTCTGTATACACGTCCTCGGAAGCCCGAACACGAGACATTACCGTTTCAGACGCATGAGGGACTGCGGACAGGAGGAAGCTGAAGGCATCGAGATGTAGACACAAGGTCTCCGCACATGGCAAAGCGAGCATGTTCGTTGATGAGGTGCTTCATATTTATTTCATCACTAGATCCACGACTATTTTCGATCAAGATCAACACGACACATTGTTTGCTACAATGGGGAGATCCCCGCCAGAAGGGGCCCGACGTTTTGGAGCCGCCGTGGAATTTCTTCCAGCTGCAGCGCAAGCCTTCAACCGTAAGCCTTAACCGCGCAGGCCTAGCGAGCAAACGCATGCAATAACGACCTATCAACAGAACAAACACCATCTCCGAAGAGATCATACCCCTACGGCAAGTCCAGGACAGTTGGGAAACATCAAGGGGTGGGTAAACAAAAAGGAAAACGAACACACCGGTGGCTAGCGAAACGGACGGATTGGAACGACAAAAGAATAATAGGAAACTTCATTATCACACATGGGAACCCGAACTGGTTTTGTACCAATACCTGTTCAGGCCATACTTCTGCAGTCTCTCCAGATCCAGATCTTTTTGCACGTGACATTTTGGAACTCCTGAGACCCCAACAGTTCAAAACAAATCCTAAACAGGCTATCCTAAACCCCCCCCAGGTACCTACTATATAGGGCCCTAGGGGCTCTAGTACCCTATATAGTAGGCACCTGGGGGTTTAGGCTATCCTAAACCCCACCAGCGCAAGTCAAAAGCCCTTAAGCAAGGCCTCTTGGAGCGAATCTGAGCCTTCTCCAAGTGAAGAATGCCTTCCATGCAGCCACTGGGCTCGGTCTATTGCTTTCGCGCTTAATGAGGGTTCAAGGGTCGAGACTTTCATCCGAGCCTTGCTGTTATGCATCTGTCTGTTCAAGATTTAAGCCGGAAAGGGCCGCTTCTCAATATCGAGCTTGAAGACTTCAACGTGCGAAGGAGAGTCACAGTAGCCATGCCTCAAGAAGGCGGATCCTGCAGAGGCTGCAAACAACAAAGGTACCTTATTTAGGTATGAAGGGAGTGCTATGAGACTTGTTCGGGACCCTCACCCTAAACCCAAAATCTTAAAGTTCTAGATCCTTCGTAGACCCCTGCCTGAGAACACGTTTTACGCACCCTGAAGCCCTGAACTCTGCCTAAAGAGGGTTGGATCTTCATGTTCTCGGCAGGCATCAGCAGGAAATCCACCAGCTGCTTCCTTCACGCAAGCTCACAAGGTTTAGGGCTGAGGGCCTCGGGTTTAGGACTCAGGGCTTCGTCATAAACACCATAAGGGCTTTGGGATATTCTACTACGATTCTATAACGGACTTCAAAGCGACATTGTTACTAAATATTCCCACTTTTTAGGTAGCTGTTAGGCCGGCGTGTAACTGCGAGTTTAGGGGCACTTGGGGTTTAGGGTTACTCTTTGGGTCTCCGCCTTGTTGGATTTTTGGGGGGCCCGGATTCACGTGAAGCTGAAGCAATCTCAAGATCAGGCGAGCTTGAAGGGGATATGTTGTGCAGGCATCTGATGCTGCACCGATCACATGAGAGGCATGCAAGCTCCATTCTTCGACTGCTTGCCTAACCAAGTGGTCGAAGAGCTTGTCGACACCCTTGTTGATACGGCCTTTGATGCCACCTGCGGTACACACACACAGAGATTAACCAACGTGCCTTTATGAATCGTCGAAGCTTTAACAGGATTTGATGTGAGTCTTGGGGACATGCCGTCGCCTCGACCAGCAAAAAAGGTGAAGAAGCCGCGAAAGACACGAAACCTCGGACATGTGCCGGAGAGACCTAAATCTGGTCTCTAGTGGTTGCAGGATCTCCAGCGAAGATCATGAACAGAAGAGTCTCGAAAGACAGAATAGCTGCTGTTCATATACTCATGTTTTATAACCATCGTTCGATGCACGCCACACCATGAATGCCACTCCCAGAATGTGCGCGGCAGAGTTACAGCAATTCAATTGTAGGTTTCTGTAACTGTACGCTCGGCATCCAAACCGGTGCAATGAGATGCAATCGGAATCTTTGCATCAGTTCCCGCCATCAAAGCTACAGAGACAGGAATCTCTGTTTGCAGCCCACGCGACAAAACGATCACACTCCAACGCCTATAGATTCGGACATACGCACGTAATTACGAATGTGCGTGTGCACGTGTACAGAGGAGATTCAGCACGTGCGCAGGCGTGTCGGCGGATGTCCTCTGCTCACAGTGCAAACACTTTTGCGAGAGAGCATGGCGATAACGCAGAGTTTCTCAGCCTCTCAGCCCCGTGCACTCGCAGCACAGGTCCTTGGCAAGGACAGAGCCACTGTCGCATTACTGGCGGCTTCTTTATTGCCCTTTTTGCTACTGGACTCAAGTCGAGCTAGACCACGATATAGCCGTGCCCCTAAACTCTACACTAGACCCTAGATTGCACAAACTGAAAGTCCAAACTCCGAAGAAAGCCTGCATACCTCAGGCTCAGCGCAGCAAGGACCCGAAGGAAGCCCAACTCAACTTCACAATCCGAGGCAAAAATCCTGCTTTCGAATCTCGATATCCCAAAGCTGCCCGGAACCACAACCCTTGAACCACGGGCCACATTCAATCTTATGCGACCCCAACCCTGAAACCGGTTCAGCCCCAGCCCGACAGTTGCTAGCGACACCCCTCCAATCCAGAATCCAGAGACAATATCAACGGAGAGAAAAAGCTCTTCACAACTACACCTCGGTTGTGGACCTAAACTTCAACAGTCACCAATCGGGTACTGTGAGTCTCCTAGCCAAATGCAACATCGTTCTAGGCCCAGCTGCTCTCACCCCTCAGCCTCTTAAGTCATATCATCCAGTAGCAAACATCCAGAGGGATGCTTGAACTGTTTGGTGTAGGACGGTATATGGAAACCTAAGCGCAAGCTCGAGGAAATTGGTAACAGCAAGTTTAAACAACTAGCCTTTCGCCTTGATGCCTAAAGTAGACCTTCCCGACTTCAAACACACCCCTACAAGTCCGAACATAGCAACCCGAACGCGAAGGGCCTTTCACCCCAAATTACCCACGAACTCCTGCTTTAAATGCTGAGAACCATCCAGCAAAGCACCCGAAGAGCCCTCAACGCAGGTCTCAAACTCGTTTGTTCACAAGAACTTGACGAACGCTTAGCGACTGGCTGAACCTTACGTATCAGCCCGGACAAACCCCTTAAACCTTAGCACCCCGCAAGATCGTCCTTTTCTGCATCCGAACCCCCGAAACCCCCGAAGCCCTAGATGTAAACGCCCCGAGAGCAGGGGTTCCCTAAATCTGAAACCCCTTGCAGCGGGCCCCTTTTACCTTTTTTGCAAGCGGGCTTGGCGACGGGCCCTTTTACCCAAACCCTACCCATATGCTCCCAAAAGGTGATCCCAAAAAGGAACTACTTAGGAGCCTATGGGTAAAGTAAGCAGAAACAGCAGGACAGCAGAATCCGAGCGGCGGATGGTGCGACCCAAGGAGGCCCCCGGCTGCCGGGGACCCGAGGCTGCAGAGCTAAGCCGGTCCTGTTCGGAGGACATGAACCTTAATTGTGTATTATGTTGTAAGATGTTACAAGACGGTATAATATGATATTAAGATGCTATCATAGGTACAGAAGGGTTTATACGGAATTTTATGTGGTTTGGGAGGATCATGGATTTGGGTTTGTAGGGTTCAGAGATCTTCTCGTCGGCTTCCTTCAAAGGGTTGACGGTGGAGGCTTGTGAAGTGTTGACGATGAGGGCTTGCTGCGGGATAACTGTGGGGTTCTAGCAGGGCTTCAAGGGATGTTTTGTTCAAGGGTTCATGAACTTCGACGCGCACGCTCGCAACGTTGTCTGTATAATTTAGTGTCCAGGAGTTCCAGGATGTAAGTCAAGCAGGAGTCCTCCGTAAAGGGCCCTTGTTCCAGGATCCTTCTGCAAAGATACTAAGGCTGTGAGAGTTCTTTATTATTATGTTCAGGGTGAACTATTCCTGCATTATGTGTAGGGCTTTAAGGGTTGCAGGGTTGGTCGGGCTGTCTGGGTCTGGGGTTTGAGGCTAGATGGGTAGTTTTCTAAAGCAGGGTCCCTTTGAGGGTACTGTTTTATAAGGATGCCGTACTATATTGGCGACCTGAAAAGGGACCTCAATTTGGAGAACTGCCCAAAGGTAGGGTTCGCAGGGGTTTGTAGCACTACGGTCCTTACGCTCTAGCACTCGGCATACGGGTTCAGGCCTCGATCTCCACGATGACAGAGATCAGGCCAACAATGGCAACTGCGAATTCGATCCTGGTTCGGGCATAGGCGCTGAAACAGTGTTGAGTATGATGATATGATTTGTGCCCAAATCGCAACACCATGGTGAAGAACGTCGTGTTATCACCCTGATACCTGGTTGATAGAAGCATTGTGAACGATGTTAACAATTTACCACCCTGAGGCACCAGTTTAGAGAGAGAGAGAGAGCAGGAGAGAATGAATTTAAGTTGCTATTCCACACACGTATATGTACACACATATATATATATATATGTATATGTATTATAGAGTATATACATTAATATACATGTATACGGCACGGAGGGAAAGACACGTGTTCTCAGCCCGAAGTCGAAAGTGTGATGCAACAACAGAAGTCTAAGACCTCCTACAGCTCCACTTCTGAAGGGCTCCAAGCCCAAACAGCCATGGTCGGAACAAGGACCGCAATGTGGACACAGACCGGTCAAACCAAACAATCGAAGCCACGACTGTTGCAAATGAGGTTGATGGCGACTACGATGGATGGCGAGGCCGACGATGTTTATCGTTCTCAGACATCTGCTTGCTCGCGGATGTCGACAAACACACGGTTGCACTTGCGTCGGTGATTCTGAAGGCTATACTAATGCTGGGGACAGGCGTGAGGGAAGTGAATTGCCATCACTCTGACCACTGTCAGCAACATCACCGACATCAACATCAACACCATCATCAACGACAATCGCCATCAGCATCGCCACCACGTCAACACTTCACCACCATCGCCCATCGCCCCATAATGGCCGTCAACAACACACTGCTGGCCGTCATCTATATATATATAACATATATAGTTAGATGCATAAATAAAAATAACTATACATAGATTAAAAAGCCTGCATATTTAGATCCATTGCTGTGACGACGATGCTCAGCTCTAGTATTGGGTCGATCGTAGGGTCACCCGATCATTGACTTACCTTCCTTTGGCGTACGTGGCGTAGTTGTAACGCGGTCGTGGTGGTGACCCAGTCCCTCCTGCACCGTATGCGAATTCCAGCTTCTCTGCTTGCCCACTGTCAGCACTAGTCATGGCAGAAGTCGTCGTCGTGCGGCAGCGCTGGCATTACTTGCAGGAGTAGCAGTAGCAGGCGCAGTCGACAAAAAACAGTCATCCTCTCGGGCGGCAACAGAAGTCAAGGATCGTTTGAAAACAATTGGCACTCACAGGGATGCCAGCAAGCAGAAGCCGTAACATGCAACAGAGTTGCACATAACTCTAGAGACAACGCGCTCAAAAGCCTCGCGTGATGTATGTTCTCGTCCAATAACATTGACGTAGCAAGTGAGCAGAACACCATCCGCCTTCACCCCCGAAGCCCGGCAGCCTGTACATCAGGATTCATCAGGTCTTCGGTTTAGAGTCTCACAACTCGGACGATCCAGGCGAAGTTTAAGGGTTATAGGGTTTAGGGGTTCAAAGCCAATATGCCCGAAACCTACGAAACCTCGGATCTGAAATGTCACCCAAGATCACCGGGGTCAACATCTCGACAGCATTTAAAACAGGTGCAAGACAAGCTGCCAATTCAGCACATTAAAGAAGAAACGCCGTCCGTCCTGGCATCGGGCGGAGTTGTCGGAAAACTGGAGTTTTGGGTGTAGCCCTGGAGCGGTAAACTCGTATTGGGTCAAGGCGCCACGGCAATTGGCAAAGCTCGCTTCATTGAAGCCAAGAACAAATAGCTCTAAGCCTAGGAAGGGACACAGACAGCCTCAGCGCAGGATGAATTGCTGAACAGTCCTTCGCCAAAGCCACGGCGAAATCAAGAAACAAACACACGCACACACACACACAAACTGATGAAAAGGCTTTATACTGTCAAGGGATTGAGATGGTCGACGAGAAACGTTACTCTAAGTCTAGCTGCACCAGGCAATTGCACAGCTACACATGGCAGCGACTACAGCAACGGGTCGGACTAAGGTCCCGACTCATAACGCATCCGAGACCGGTTGAGAACAGGCGCATCTTTTCTTCTGGGAGCGGTTCACTTCAAGACGCCTCCAGATCGGGTGGCCAGCCACAGCCAAAGAAGCTCAATGAGCTATATGTCCCATGTAGCTCTACGACCAGCCAACAAGCTGATCAACCCCATTAAAGCCCGCTGTCTTTCCGACAGCGCCATGAACAGCATCACCGCAAATGAAACATGTAACTCGTCATGAACAGCTTTGCGCGGTTTTAGTGACTTTAGTGTCCCGTGCAGTCTCAGCCTCAGCGGCTGCTTGCGAGCTGACGTCACAGAAAGCACGATACTGCGCAAAGGTGAAAGGGCATTTCATGGATGTGCCCTGGCTTCGCAGCCTGGAAGCCAAAGCTTCGACGAAGCTCCGCTGTGGGCCCTTGGCCATTCGCCTTCCCAGCGCCCGCCCCTTTGATCGCGTGGCCTCAGGTTCCCCGGATCCTTCTGGCCTGTTCCGCGCAGCTTGGACTAGAATAGAAAGCTCCTGCACCGATCGATTCAGCAGGCCAACGGGTTCGGTCGCTAGCTCAGCATAGCGAAAAGGCTGCAGCAGGCGCATCTCCGACAGCATCTTTCGGCGCAAAGCGAAGCCCTCACTTGCCTCGTTTCGCCTTGGCCCGGACAGCGCTGATTGCCCTTCCATGTCCCTCTGAGATAGTTCGCGGGAGTCCGCTGTCCAAGGAACTGGTCCAGACCGTCCTGGCTCCCCAAAGCAAGTCGACTGCATCAGCTCCTTTTGTCCAAGAGGGCACTCGCCACTCCTCATGTGTTGCAGGAGGGCAGGGACCTGCTCGAAAATGCGGTCCGTCGTGCAGAAGCTGCACATCATGTATGAGAGACCTTCCCTGGGATCTTCGACGGGAATGTACCGAATTTGTTGTGCCAGTCCCGTCGAGTGTGACCTACTGCACTCGGCAGGCACATCTATGGTCTGCGCAGTGGCTGTCTTCATGTGAGGCTGGAGGCGTTGGTACCTTCGGCTGCCATGACCACGTGCCCCATTGCCAGTGCCAGTTCCGCCGCTTTCTGTCCTTTTCCACAAGGACCGCCTCGCCAGTTGAGTCGACGAGACAGGCACGGATTCGTCCAAAGCCCCTGGGATTGTCTCAGCCTCCGATTCTTCGTCAGCCATCACAGAACCAACGGCACCTATAGATCGTGACAAGTACACTTGCTTTTTCACATGCAAACACAACTCGAAACGCATTTTTCTGGGATATCTATTCAGTCTGTTCCAAGACGGGTGCAAAGATCATGACGAACATGTTGCGTTGATTTTATCCCCTCTCGTGCCAGAAGCGGACATGGACATCAACTTCTTCAACATATCAATCATCAACCGTGTAGTGCAGAAGTTAGGGTGCACACCGACAGTTGCAAGGACAGAAGCTCCTGCTCTGTGACATGCCGAATGCTGAAACAACGGCGCATCACAACAGCGAGGACACAAGCACGCTTGTGCCTTCGTGATGCGAAGGATGACGTCCACGACGAGGACGAGAAGAACACTCGCTCCTGTCGGACATAGCTGCTTTGCACGATTAGGAGTTTAGGTTGTACCGGGCTCCGGGTGGCTGAGGTCTGACACAACCTGGAAGCCGCAACTCGGAGTAGCATGTTCGATGCCTCGCCCGCCCAGAAGTGGCCATCTCTTGCGAACGGTTGCTGTGCGTGCTGCTGTGCCGGCCGGATAATGCTAACAATGAGTAGTCAAACAGTCTGAGCTTTAGTGGTACTCGTTGGAATGTCAACGCTTGCAGGGACCGGCAGGGAACTGCTGCTGATGGTTCCCGTTACTGCAATACCCCCAACCCCAAACCCAAACGGGGCAGAGCTCAATCCTTGACCATCCTATGTTATGATGGGACCAAGGGGCTCTCTGGCACAACCACAAGGCCCCTTTCGCAGGCAAGTGCTTCAGTGCAACAAAAGCAGCATCGCTTCTGGCTGGTTTCCGAACATGGTATCCTAGGCCCTCAGCACGTCAACATCCCTCCACGCGACACCTCATGCAGCGCGCCTGCTAAAAAAAGGCCAAGCGAGTCCGATTCATCTGGGGGAAGGATGAAACTGGCGACCGTCAGGCCTTGGCGCATAGTGTGAACGGAATGCCCCAACAGCAGCCATGGCTGCACGTGTGAGCCACGTATCTATTTGATGAAAGATTTTGTAGATAAATTGTGGAGAGAATTACCTCGAGAACACACAACCAGCAGTCGTGCCCCGACGATGGAAAAACGAACATGATCAAACGCAAGCACTTATGGTCAATTGCCCCTCATTCGGAATCCCAAGCCTCGCAGCAATAGCGTCTAAAATCCTGTGGCCCCGGCCCATGTCGATGCATATCGCAATGGTCACAATTATCTCCCAAATAGCTGACTCCTTGGCTATCGCAGCGGCGGTCTGAGGGCACCAGGACGGCGTCTCCATGCACTTACAAGAAATTGACAGTTTCATCGACGTCTGCGACTGGAGAGACAATCCCGCTGAAGGCTGTACGGAAGTTTCTATCTTGAGCGTCATGGTTACAAGTGTTTGTTCGGCACGCTGACTGCTGAAGGCGATCACGCAGAAAATCAGGTTGAACACTTTGCAAACTTTGCTGACCATGATGTCGCATAAGCGCCATTGACTTTTGGGTTTTGCCAAATGGCTCCAATAAACCGCGAAAACATCTGCTGTAGCACCGGTTCCTGATGGACTCCTCGAGTTACATACGACTCTGCTCTGCATACGAAGACGGTGCCGGCCCGTACACAGCGCACCCCCTTTCAGATCAAACTGTGAGCAAAGGCTGCTGATCAAGGATTGAGCATCATCTAGGGCACAGATCCAAACCCCTTCAAAAGCAGGACAACATGTATGGACAACACGCACCGAACAGTAGTTTCAACGTTACACTCACTCACTCACTCGCGGTTTTGAGTCCTTACAGCCATGCCCTCCAGCCTCCGGGCTACCTTTCATTTGCCGGGCCGTCCAAGGGCGATACCGTGCTTTTGCTCTCCGCCGATTTTGAGAGACGTAGCCTACGCCCCGGAACAGTGTTCTCGCACGGTCCAGTTCTTGAGGCCCTTAAACTACCGTCTATCTTCCCTGGACCTACAAATCAAAACTGAAGCCCAGCAACGAGAACCCACAGGACAGTGGCCTCTGAACCCTGACCTAAACCAAGAAACCGTTCTGAAAGCGCAGCAAAAACCAGTGCGCGAAAACTGGCAACTCATGGCCACTCTGAATGTCAAGATAAACATCCGCTTTACTGCACGTCGTACACTGGCCAAGGCTCGACAATAAGCACTGCTCGACCGCGACAATTCGTTGCCTCGGGGTTCTCGGTAATCCAGTACCTCAGACTCGAGAGCCCAATACCCCTTAATTAAGGAATATACCTTAAATTATAGGGGCCCTAAAATTCTGATTTAAGGTATATTCCTTACTTAAGAGGTATTGGGCTCTCTGGGGAACTCCACAGCGACATGCTAGTCGAGCTGTCCCAGATGATGCTGAGGGCGCCAGTTTTCATGTATTCGTTGCCCATGTTTGGCTCAAGCTCACTTCTTCCACATGATCACATGAGCGGGAGTTCCGTTTCTATTAGGTCATAGCAAGTAGAATCTGGCAGACCCTGATTGCGAATAACGCCACACTGTCATCATGCTCGGTGTTCCTCTTACTCCGTCGCTGCTCACCTTGTCAACACCTTCTGCGACCAAAACGGATGCCAAAGCAAGACGGGACTGAGATGCGCCCGTCGGTTGCGGAGGCTCTCCGCATCAATGTGTACCGCCTGCGAGTGGCATTTGCGGAGTTTAGGCAGAGGCAGTCAAGGTTCCATCTGTCACGCGTATCGGTTACCTAAGCGAACATTGAGGGTTTTGTGCCAGGAAGCTCGGTATTAACTGGAGGTGACTCTCCACAAGGTCTGCGTGCGCCCCTATGCCCTACGCTTGAATCACCTGAAGCTCGAAACCCCACAAGCTGAAAGCTAGATTCCACAAGAAGATCCTACAGCTGGATGTGAAAGCAGCAGCTGGCCTCGATAACGGAGAAGTGTGTCGGCTTCCTTGGGAGGACTCCGTGCTGACGAAAACGAGAAACGCATACCATCGCCAGCAGCAGCAGCAGCAGCAGCAGTAGCAGTAGCAACAGCAGCAGCAGCAGGAGGAAGAGGCGGAGGAGGAGGAGTAGCTGTCGCGGCGGATGTGGTCGCAGTAGAATTGGCAGTTAAGGCAGCAAGGATGCTACGAAGAACGGCACGACCCAGCATCGGAACAGCCAACCCATTAAACGTGAGCAACAACAACATGCCTCGAGCATCTCAGACGGATATCAAAGCAAGAAATGCCTGCACCAAAACTCTGATTGGGAACCCTTGATGCTTGAATTTACCTCCAGAGGTGGCAACTTCCCAAGACACAACCAGTCCCCAATCTCAAAACCTCGAACCACAATTCCAACAGACACAAGCGTGAGCCTCGAAACCTCACGCCGTAAAGCCCATGAACCGAGAACCTGAACCCTGAGCGCTCAATACCCAGTGCACGCCTGGTGATCTTCCGGCTAATGCTGCCAGCCTGAAGTCATTCAGAGACACAGGCTGGAGCAGCATGGTGTTTCTCTGGGGTTGTAGGCTTGTAGGCAGCAGGGAGATCGAATACATGGCTCATATTACATCAGGTCACGGGTAATTAGTCCTGCAAGCTTATGTAAGACGATCACAGAGAGGTGTCAGTCCGACACATCTCGGTTGTCCCCCCTTCGCCCCAAACGCTGTAAGTCCCACTTCAAGACATCCCGTTTAGTAAAGCCTGCCTGCAGTCCGGATTTTCTGCCGATTCTGTGCCGAGCTGCTGATGACTCGCTGAAACTCTTGGTCGAGGGGATCCGGGTCGGGGCAGCCATGGCATCTTGCAAAGTCTGCACCCGGAACCCTAAACCCTATGCCCGCCACCCCAGTCCGTGCACTTGCGCATTCGCCCGAAACCAAACCTCGTGGTCGAGGGGTGCGGAGTCCGTTGTGCATCTCAAGTAGTCTCATAGCCTTGATCCGTTTTACAATGTTTGCTTGCAATCCTTGCCCGTTTTTCATCTTGAACTGATGAGGGCTGTTGCCCCAACAGGACACTCCAGGAGATGCGGGCAACGCACAAACTCTTGAGGGACCATACGCGCGGACACTCCCACGTCTTTCACAGTGTTACCTCGTCTGTGGGCATCTGCATGACCTACTCGAAACTTTGAGCCCCAGCGATGTGCGGAAGAGCAACCATTGTTGAAAGTCCCGATTGAACAAAAACGCGATCTGCTTCCTAACTCGACTCATGGTTCGCTGATGCAACGCACTCACTCAGCCCTGTTCTTGGCAAGTGCACGTAGGAATTGACGAAGTCCAGCTGACAAAACCATCGTGACTGTCGACCAAGCATCACTAATTCTGCTGACCTGCTTATCTTCTATTTCGCCTCACCTGTGCTTGCACCCGTGCCGTACTCTTCAGATGGCTGTGAAACAGCCTTTCCCGCACTCGACACTTTGTCCCGACAGCCTTCGAGCCGCCTGTGGCGACCTCTAGAAGAGGAAACTCAACAGGGCCAGTGCAGACACAACGAAGCTGGCAAAGCTGCAGCAGGTGCCACTCTTCAGATCCAGGACGTCGTCTTCAGTGGTCGGATACACCACGAGATCTTGCGGATATCCGCTGTTGGTGGAATTTCCCACCTTGCCTCGGCCTGCAGGCACACCGCAAACGACTCCAGATAGACGGAAGTCCGTACTGCGCGGCGGAAAAAAGCGACTCCCAAAGGCTGGCATTGATTTTGAAGGATGCATTGATTATCTGAACCCTGGCCGCTACAACACTGAACCCTCTTTTTCGGCCACTGAGTCGCCTGTCCGAAACCTCGACAAAAGCCCCCAGAAAAAGCACCGCGAGCCTGTGCGGAGGACGAGGTAGCTTTCCCCCCGTGCCGCTGCAAAGCGCGCGCGGATTTTGGAGTCTGCGCTGCCGTCGCTCAGGATGATCTGGTAGCTGCCCTGTAGGGGGGGTTTTTAAGCAGCTCAACCTTGCTCATATTCCGCTTGTGTCCTGGGGCACGCCAAAAGCCGTACCGAACGGAAGGATGGTGCCTTCCCAGTGGCCTCGGCTGCACTCTAGTCACTCTAGTTGTTCAGGGTTTCGGCGCTCACACTGGCTATAGGGTTTGATGATCTGACCCCCAAGTCCTCCGACAGTCATACCTGCAAAAACAACACAGTCTTTTCTTGACCATCTGCTTTCCTCACCCCTCGTACTCCGACCTGCAGAATTCTAAATATGGAAACATGTTTTCTTCCATTCCTACGAATTAATAGACCAATATACATGTTACAACGATTGCTTCTTGCTGTTGTTTTTGCCACTAGTCTAACCCCCTACAGCCCACTCCCGCCTGTGGAGTTTGCCAAGAGCAGGGCTGCCTTAGCGTCGCCGGCATAGGTGTCTAGCACCGCCACCTCCCAGCAATACCACGTGTTTTACACTGGGTTTCTGCAAAGGCTTTCTTAAGACCTTTTTCAGGATTCTTTTCGGTTTTTCTTATGTAGGCCTTAAGTGCTGTGTTGTTTAATGTTTATTTTGCTGGGACCAAAAAAACAAGCACGATCAAGCCCTGTGCACGGCCGATCCATGACGCATGTGCTGCAGCAGCACACATGTCTGATGTAACCTTGTGGAAGGGGGGACGCAAGACCCAAAACCCTTTACGCTAAACCGGAACCCTTTTTGCAGGAACTCCGAAAGACCTCGCAGTTCGACGTGTGCTGCGTGTTCCCAAGTGTGCGAAGGGCCAGATTTGCGGCGCAGCTCACCAGACGACTCTACATGCAAAATCTCTCTTCCGATCTTCTGCGCCAAACATCCCAAACATTCCTAAACCTCGGGCAAACTCGGACAATGCAGACCAGGTCGGTACGGTTTGCAGGACAATCATTTTCGCCGCAGTAGGTCGAGCAGTCTAGCACAGCATGCAGTCAGCGGTTCCTGGTCTCGGGCTGCAGGTTTAGGGTAAATCGAACCCGCTTTCACCTATAAAAACCTAAACTGCCGGATCTTGGCGTGGCATCTGGAAGGCTGGGTAGGCCCTTCGGCCCTTCAGGTCAACCGTGCAAACGGCAGCGCCACGGAAACTCTCGTAATGGCAGTTATCTTACAAACCAAAGCAGTAGACGATAGAAAAGGCTACTCTAAATCGTGAACCATACTGCACAAACCAGTAGAATTACTAGAAACCCGAAAACGGACAAAAAGCTGCCTGGGCATCCTTCGATGCGGCGAACATGTGCGACTGGAACGACACCGGGTCCAGCTCGGAGTTTGAGCGGTGGATCACCACGTACATGACGGCATCATACCTCTCAATTGAGATCATGGAAAACCTTCGTTTAGGGGTTTAATTAAGGTTCACCACTTAGCGGTTATGAGTTATAAGGTATAGGGTAAAGGCAGGACTCTTGGAACTCCTCATTGAACAGCACACACCAGCGGTGACATTTCGGGACCCCATCTGCGGCCGTTAAGGAACTCGACCGCCGAAAGTGTTGAACTCTGCAGGTTCTGAGGGACAGCAAGCAAAGTCCCAACAGTGCGAAAATTGTAATCGGTCTTGGGATCGAAATCTCGGCCAATGCAGACCTTCATTCACATCCTGTCTGTCTGCCATCTTTCCTGGTCCTCCAATGACTAACTGTTCCATGACGTCGCCGACCCAGAAACTCTAGCCGAGGGCGGGATCCGAAGCACATTCATTGTCGCCCGACAGCCTTCGTCACCACCGTAACCCTGACTGGGCCCTAACCCTCCACGAAACCCCTGAATGACAGAGGAAAGCCAGCCTAGGCAGGGAGTCGATGGCGAAGGTGGCGATTGGCAGCTTCTCTGTTCGGAAATCCTCAATTTTTCTTAAGGCTTTTTGGGCGCTTTGAGGGCTTGGGTTCTTAGGCCGAAACCCTCGGGCTCAGGGCTTCTGGGGTTTAAAGCCTCGGGCCTCGGGCTGATAGTAACAAGGTTTACGGCTTCGGGCATCTTGGATTGTACCAAGGCTTGTAAATGTAAGGCTGTACGGCTTAGGGAATTATAAGGCTTATCGGTAAGGCGGTTGCACTCTCAAGAGGAGCAAAACCTGGGATGAAGAGGGGTCGAATGAAGACTTCCTTGATGCTTTAACGGACTTTAATGCTCTTATTGGTTCTTTTCACGATGTCGTTGTCGGCTACAACGCCGGTTGCAGAGTTCTCCAGGGGGAGGCTTCAAGAAGCTGACAATCAATTAATTTACGGTTTTTTTTTTTGGGGGGGGGGGGCAGCTCTACGGATCCGGATCGCGTGGAAGGGGATCATCGACTGTGCCATCAGCAAAAAGATTCCAGCGATTTGAACGATTCGGGTTGCCAAGACGTCTACTACGAAACGGGCTTCGCATGATGCGGCTGTTGAAAGGAGGCGCATAGCGTAGTGAACCCGTCGTTATGGAGATCAACTGCAGGCCGGGCTCAAGACGGTCTCCTCGCGCAAGAGGTTTCAGGAGGTTCAGCTGCTGGCACTCCTCGCCCCGA